AATACATTTATGTAGTAAAATCATTTCAAATGCATTTATATAGTAAAATCATTTCAAATGCATTTATATAGTAAAATCATTTCGGATGCATTTATGTAGTAAAAACACCAAGACAATGTCTCCTTACTTACCTTTCTTCCTACATCCACCAAAATACCTCATTGTCTGTATGAAAGTCCTACCTCGTCTCCATATATACAATTCATTGCCTGTGGGTAGGGATAGCGAAGGGCTAATCCGAACAATTAACATGAATGTATTTATAGAAAATGCACAGTGATGCAATCTTGCGGCGGTGTAAAATGACTGAAGCCGAGATGCCAAATCGGTGTCAATAATATCACTGATTCTTATTTGGATTTTATCAAGGAGGTCTGGATAGAGAACAGGAGCAACGAACTAAGATTCTAAGCATGGTTGAATAATAGACATAGATATCTAAGTTAGATTCTGGAGAGTAAAACCGTCTAGCCTTAGACATTGGACCAATTTTCATGGCAGCTGCGCTAGCAATGGTTTCAATATAGTCTTTCCACTTCATGTGAACCAAGAATGTTACTCAAGAAAAGATGTCATCATCATCCTTTCTGATGGAAGACAAAAATAGATCTCTCAGATGATTAGTATAGAGCAGTTCATTTTTGGATGCGTTAAAATGAACACGCCATCCTTTGTCTCAGTTAACAACAGATTCAAGGTTTTTGATATCAGCTGCCATTTTGCCCTTATCAAACTAAACAGACTTATTATCAAGGCAAGAGTAAATGGTTGTTTTATTATTTATAGCAAAAACATTTTTGATGCATTCATAGGAAAACCATTTGAAATGCAATTATATAGTAAAATTGTTTACAATGCATTTAAATATTAAAATCATTTCGAATGTATTTATATAGTAAAAGCATTTCACATGCATTTATATCGTAAAATCATTCCGAATATATTAATATATTAAAATCATTTTAACCCTTTGAGTCCTGCGTTCCTGAACAATTTTAATCTTACTCACTGAGATCCTGAGTCAAATTTAGAAAATAATTAGTATGTAATGTTTCACGGGAGATATAAAAATAGTTATAAGTGTTTAGCCACCGTCCAACCGGTTGCTGAGCATTAAGTTATTTTTTTCTACCACTGTTCAACTGGTGGTTGGGAATTACGTCATTTTTTTCTACCACTGTTCAACTGGTGGTTGGGAATTACGTCATTTTTTTCTACCACTGTTCAACTGGTGGTTGGGAATTACGTCATTTTTCTCTACCACCGGTAAAGCGGGGATCGGGCCTCAAAGAGTTAAATGAATTTATATAATAAAATCATTTTGAATGCATTTTTATCGTAAAAGCCCATTCGAATGCATTCATATAGTAAAATCATTTAGAATACATTTATATCATAAAATCACTTCGGATGCATTTATGTTGTAAAATCATTCTGAATACATTTATATAAAGTCATTTCCAATACATTTATGTAGTAAAATCCTTTTGAATACATATATATAAAATCATTTCCAATAAATTTATGTAGTAAAATTATTTTGAATACATTTATATAAAATCATTTCCAATAAATTTATGTAGTAAAATCATTTTGAATATATTTATATAAAATCATTTCCAATACTTTTATGTAGTAAAATCATTTTGAATACATTTATATAAAATTATTTCCAATAAATTTATGTAGTAAAATCATTTTGAATACATTTATATAAAATCATTTCCAATACATTTATGTAGTAAAATCATTTTGAATACATTTATATAAAATCATTTTTTTTTTTAAATTTATGTAGTAAAATCATTTTGAATACATTTATATGATAGTAGCATTTCGACTGAACTTATATGCGAAAATTATTTCGAATGTGTTTATATTAAATTCATTTGAAATTATTTAACAAGTAAAATTCTCTCGAAAGCATTTCATGCAGTAAACTAGTTTCGAAGGCATTCATATAGTACATTCATTTTCATATAACTACTTTCACTTAGTAATACTTGCATACATTGCTCAACGCTAATACTCTTGCTTATTTTCAATGAGTATCTATAGTAAAAAGTATTTATAATGCATTTACATTATACATACAATAACCCTGTCAGAAATATGTCCCAAGTTATGTCACTGACAATCAATTTCTTTCTAATTTTCAATGCAATTCAGATATAACATCACACATTTGGGGTCTGGTTCCTCACACCAAAACAAAGACAAAAGTCCATATAAAAGTATGTCCGCAAATCCTTCGTTTTTGAGTTATTAAGTTTAAAGAACGTTTAAGGTTGATGGCGCCGTGCTGCCATGTAGACTAGGTTACATTTGTTATTCGTGTAAATTTGTGGCTAGTCAGTCTTCAACGTTTAACGTATGTAACAGTGAGATAACTGAGAAATGTTCCTTCCGTTTAACAGGATATTCATATCGGCAAAAGTTATATCCTGAATGAATATCATGTTAAACGGGAGACTTCTCAGTTTTTCTCACTGCTACACACGTTAAACGTTTAAGACTGATTAGCCACAAATGTACACGAATGATAAATGTAACCTAGTCTACTCATTTTTAGTAATATTTTTTTTCCAAAAAATATATTGCTAGTAACATTTTTTCTCAAAAATGTATTGGTAGTAATTTTTTTTTCCAGAAAATGTATTGCTGGTATTTTTTTTTAAATTTATTGCTGGTAAATATTTTTTTCGAAAAAGTATTGCTGGTATTAAAACCTTTTTTATACTTTCATAGTGTTTTGACTCCTTTTGTGGGGTTTAACTATTTTCCCATTGCTGGGACCCTGACAGGTGCTACTACCCTGGGTCACTGTGGCCCTTGGAAGAACAGAAATCAAGAAGTGGTTCCATACACCTCAAAGCCTCCTAATCAAAGACATTGCTGTTGAATGTAGTTTATCGTCTTGCCAAGGACGTGTATCTGTTACGAGAAGAATACTTCAATTTTAAGATGACAAAGGCTAAATATAAATTATCACTGTCCATCGATTGATGCAATACAAACCGGCCATAAGATGGAGTCGGGATTTCCCACTGGAATTACATACAGTGACACATATCCATGCGCGATATGGCACGCCAAATACCTTGATATTATGCAAGTGTTAGCCAGTGTAGTCCTCTAAATGCTGTCAAAGATTTTATAGAAATGAACCGGAAAATCACATACAAAAGAAAAAGTAAGGTATGCATATCTAATCCTGTTGAATTAATCTGAAAGGTATACGAGCCGTTGCTTGCATCAGGGAAACATTTTGATTTTCCCTTTCATAAAAAAAAAAAAACGAAATATATTTAAAACTTGAAAGATGAAATAAAAGTTACAATCAAATATTTTTTTTTATATCAGATGTACGGCAGGGAATTTGTTGACAGTATCTTCACAGTTGACGCGGATACTTGACACAACAGATGCAACACAACGAAACAATGCTAAGAATTCCATGCAGGGGGCGGATATAGAAATGTGAACTTTTTTGTTTTGTTTTGTTTTTAAGCTTTTCACCCCAAGCAAGGATTTGGTGCGAGAGTAGATAGGAGTGAAAGAGGAAAGGATGAAGAGGAGGATAGTGGATAAATCAAGGCAACTGGAGATGTCAATTGACATTACATTTGAATATCTGGAGATTATAGCTATCAGGGAAACAGGAAAAGGGAAGGGAGTTCCACAGGCGAGAGGTGCGAGATATGAAGCTACCGGAGAAGAGGAGACGGCTACATTTAGCAGTTTCGACAGTGAAAGGGTGAGAGCGGGATGCCAGCCTCGTAGGGCGCTTGAATTCATGAAGTCTTGGAACCAGAGAAAGCAGCTCATCAGAGCAATTACCATGAAAGTATTTGTAAAAAAGACAGAGGGAGGCGACGTTTTATTCGGAAAATAGAAACTATATTCCGATATGGCAGTGAATGCGGGAATGTTTCCTCGCAGAGGAGAAAGAGACATGACACAACACAGATGTTTGTTCACGGAAAAATGTAAGAAAATCCACTTTCACAAAGTTGACTATTGTCAAGCTTCATATGAAAAAAAAAAAGTGTATGAAGAGAAACCAAGTTAATATAGTCGCCAACTCTTTCTAGGTATTAATCTAAAAGAAAAATGGTTGTCCACCGACGAAAGAGTTGTCTCCGAGAACGGTAAACAATATTAATATAGAATGTATTTGATAATCAAGAAAAAAATGCGAAGAGTAATGATAAAATCAAAACAACACAAAAGGTAAAAAGAATGTATAAAAACGAAATCAGTGGAGACGCTGGAGGCATCGATATTGACAAGTAAAACAATAAAATATTAGCGGATATAGTTCTATGTGATATTGGGTTCATAGTACGAGACTCTTATATAATATCAGACCTCCATTGAATGTTGGACAGTCTTCTCACAGATGAAGAAAAAACATTGAGGCAGTGAGAAATGTGTATCTTCAAATGACAGGCCATGAATACTTTGAACTGAATATGTTAGGAACGACAAATTTTAAAAGAAAATAGAAAAAAACAAGTAGAACGAATCAAACTTTCTAGTGTACATAATGAAGAAAAGAGGGCCTAGAAAATGTAACACTCACTGGACCTGTTGAAAGCACAGAGGATAGCAGAGAATAACATACGTGTGTAAGTGTTTGACAGAACAGGAATTAAGAGACTTAGTCAAAAAATGAGAGGGTAGCGCTAAAATGGACATGAAATTGTGGAAAACGATGGGCGCTCATGTCCGGAAGAGACACGGCACATAGAATGAAGAGGGCCTATATATTGTGGGTTGATTCATGAATGAATAATTGTGATACACTCTGTCACTCCCAAATGAAGTTATTACCAATATTTTAAATATTAGCAGCTATAAGATGAAGAAAAGAATACATTGTTTAAATAAATAAAAGTAAATCCTGAAAATTAAACACTATCCTTTTTTATAGTCTATTTTACTTTGGAATCATTAGTTTTTGCATAGTAAAATAATATAGTATAATATAGAATAGG